TTGGGGATACAATACTGCATTAAACTCAGATTCTATTGAAGTCAACAGACAAACATCTACTGTCTTCAGCAGAGCCTGGATGGAGCTTAGTCTTTCAGTTTCAACAAAATCAGGTATATTTTAGGCAATAGGTAATTCAATTTTTGCACCACAGACAGGTATCACATTTTGATTTCTTTTTCCCTGCCATATTTAAATATGTCTTGTTTCCTTTGAACTACATATGAAGACCTTCTATCTTTAAACCTAAATAAATTTAAAAAACTCAAATCTGTCTCCAGCCCAGTTCAACTACAGTAAATTGGTGGTGGGGCAGGGGGTAGAAACAGGCCATTTTAAAACAAGGAATTAGACTACTTTGACTTTATTATTATTGCCCTTGCACATTTTTAAAAGGTACCAGTGGCTTATAAAAAAGAAACTCTATGCTGTACATATAATCACAAACAAAAGTAAATAAACAGGCTTAGGTGCTCTGTTTTAATACACAAAGATATTTTTAATATATTGTAGTAAGAGGCATAAACTGTTTCATCAGGGTCATTTTTCCTCTCATGTGTTGTGCGCTGTCGGATAAAACTTCATGGGTATTCCAGCTCCCCTAGATCCTGGTTATCATAAATAAAGGAAAGTTTGGCCCTTAAATAAGTTATATTTTCAGGTTAACAACCACTCTGTTTTTCTTTCCCTCTTCTCATAAATCAATTATTGAGGTCTATTTAATTAAGAACAGATTAGAAACATTTTCATTGTTGTTTTTTAAATTTCCTTTGTACTGAAGTGCTACGGAGTTAAAGCACCAAGCACAAAAGTGCACAGCCAACCATGACTAACTGCATAAAGCAAATAACAAGCTGTATGATCAAAAACGAAAGCCAGGCCATTCATGTGGAATAATAGAAATCATACCACCAAAACACTTCATACACGTCTCATCTACCAACATACACACTTGCTCAACTCATATCACGCCTCAGGAATGCAGTTACAAACAGAAAGGGACCTGCATGAGAGGTAAATACCCAGAGGGGAAGCCGCGTTTCCCTGTGCCTCATCCTGGCGGTACCTCACCCCTTTAGCTTGAGGTTCATTGGCTGTGGGGAGGAAAAGGCAGAGCAAGCTGTTACTCAGGACTTGCTTCTCTCCTTGCAGCTCTTCTGCAGATGTCCTTGGGGAGCTAAACCAAATATACGCGCCAAACACTGTTGCTCAGTGCAGATAACTTGCCCTGTTTGTGCTGGACAGCTGGTGAAGGACAGTCACTATCTGTTCCCACTGGGCACAGAACGATGTCCCCCCAAAGCACACAAAACCATCATGCAAATGTTGTATTCGGGGCTCTGACACAGTCCCTGTCTTCACCGTCATTAAGAATAACCTTCCACCCTCCTCTGATTTTTCTCAGGTGTTGCAAAGGCCATTCTTATTTGAGCAAAGGAAATCTTACCTGCTTACGGGGTGCAACTGAGAGTGAGTGTTTCTGGGAGAGATACTTACCAAGCACATTTTTTTTACATAGTGTTTTGAAATAAACAAACAAAAAACCAACCCTCTGCCTATTGGCTGGAAAACAAATCCAATTTTTTAACATTTTTTCTCAACTCTCACTGCAGAAAATGGGAAACTTTCTGCTCTTTCATGAGGAATTGGAGCAGGCCAGAGAGACAAGAACAACAAGAAGCAGCCACCCACCAATAAAATGTGTGTAGTAATGTACTGGTAGAGAGATCAAGGGCTTTGCAAAAACTTTAGGAAGAATTCGATTTCCTTGTCACTCCAGGCCAGGAAGGAGGAGATTTCATATTCCTGTAGTCATTCATCCCGACCACTCCGCTACTGATTTTTAAAATCTGTTGTGGCTCAGCCCTTTCCTCATGCTTCAGAAGGGAGAGATGGCAGAGGGAACAAGAGCTCCTGAGGTTCCTCTCTACTGGTTATCCAAAGACCCTTTAAAAATGCTGCTGATGAGCAATACATCTTTTAAATCCTATAACTTTGATCAGGGGAAAATATATGCCTGCATAATTGTCTCTTGAATTCAGTAGGGACTCTAGCTGAGGGATAAATTCAGCTCCATTGTAAATGGAATGCTGGGATGGCTGGTGACAGAAATCTGGACCCTCTTCTCCAGCTCTACGGCCCCAATGCTGCTGCGTTTTGCATTCATTGAAAGCAGCACATCTGTCCCTTTGGAAATCAGTGCTATGTGTTTCAGTGTGAGAACAGAAACTTTCAGAGTGTGTTGAGTTGTTGACAGGCCAGTGTGCAATTGGAGATGGTAACTCAGATATAAAATTAAAGGTGCAATTTCTCGTCCTTCAAGTCATAGCAGATCCCTCCCATTCACTCAGTGATGAGCCTTTTCCTGTGCAAGTTCTTAATTCACTGACCCCAAGAAGCTGTTGAGAAGATTTTCTGAGATGATACCTGAGGGTCCTATTTTCCCCTGATTAATCAGTGTTAAAGGTCCAGAACTGATGACTGTAGTGCCCTCTGCTAGATATGCAGACTGACTATCCTAAGCCTTGTTCCTTATTCCTGCCTTATTCCTAAGAACCAGTTTGCACCTCAGATCCACATATGTCAAATATGGCATTTGCTCATCTTTCAAAGTGCTCTGAGACGCAGGATGAGAGGTGTGGGATGAATGCTAAACAGGGAACTAAACTATTCTCAGTGTTTTGCAAACAGAAGTTTGACAAAAAAGCCTGTACCTCAAAGAAAGTATAATCTAAACAATAATAATAATAAAAAAATACTAACTTCCTGTAAGAAAAGTAAACAACTCTTTTAGAACTAATAATAACATTCAAACATACTGATACTTTTCCAGCATTCATCATTAGATAATTATTAAACAAAAGTAAATACAAAGTTTGCTCTTTCCACATGCTCCTGTTCACAAACTCTTATTTAATTTTAGGAAGCAAAATCAGAAAAAAAATCAGGTTACTGAAGGAAAATAAAGTGGGTTTTAGATTTTTGGACTTAAGTGCTCCCCAGCAGCTTTCAGATGCTGCCAACTCAGGAACTAAGAGGAACAGCTGTGAACCAACAAGACCAAATATCAGACGCAAGTCCAATGGCTGCTGCAACACCTCTGGTGCAAGAATTTTCCTCAGGCTCTTGGGAGGTTAGTAGTGATAATGCCAAACTACATTTAAAGTGTATTTCAACATATGTGTGTGTGAATACTGCAGGATTTTCTTTGAGAAACTTCTCATGTGTGATATGCAAGTGGACAGACTGAAAGTTTTTCATTGAGACAGGAACTTTGGAGTGCCTTATTGACACCAAAGTGACGCCACGGAGCTCAGGTGCAGTTTCTTGATACCATACTGAGGTCTCTGTGATTCCGTCCATACCTGTAGGGAGCAGGAACTCTTCCTTCAAATTTATGCCAGGAAAAGCTCTGTCTTAACCCTCATTGGAGCTTCTTCAGCGAGGTTTTTAACCTGTGGCTTGGGAGGTGCTTTAAAACTGCTGTCTGGGTGCACTTTACCTCAGGCTGCACAGAACTTTCTGACTTGTCATTATGACAACTATTAGTCAACCTTGCATTTCAAAAATAGAAATCCTGCTACCATATGACCCTCCTCCTCCAATCTGCTCCATGTTTCTATAATTTTGAGAAAAAAAGAGTGAGCCCTCCAACTCAGTTACTTTCCTTGTTTTTTTGTCAGAGTCAGAATCAAGCATGCTTCTGATCAGCAAGAGGACCTGAGATGTTACAGTTTCATAGAGATGATCTTTCTTTACTGTTGTCTTGATTGGAGCGGCTGAATGAGAGAGAGCTGGTTGCATGCATTTTGTTGCAATTTGCTCATTTGGAGTGAGGCAAGCACTTTGCTGCTCTCCACATACACTGGAGCAAGCCTGGCACTCAATGAAGAGGCCACCTGCAACAAAACTAATCTGAAGTTTACTGGGCACATTTTTGTGGCTGTACCTTGACCTTCTGAGCAAAACAAGGTTTTCTCTGCAGTGGTGGGACAGGGAACATACCACGGAGGTTCTGTTAATGCCAGGGAGACCGTGTTGCCGGTCTCCTAGTCACATTCTTTCCAGCAAGCTCCGCCTCTCGCCCTTAGGACAGAGCTGTCAAAGAATGGGTTTGCCTCTTCCTTTTGTTCTTGTTCTCCATAGGAGGGGACAGTAATGCCATTTGTATTCTGCATACTGGCAGGTACTGCGAAAGCACAGACTGAGCCTCTCGAAGCTGGCTACTGAGGTGAAGGAGCAGTAGAATTTCTGCTTCGGTTGCCAATTAGGCAGGTAACATATCCCTGAGAAAGAAGGTGTGCAAGAGCTAATTATTTTTGTACGCTGCTGCCTGAATAACTTGAGTCTGCCAGGTGCCAAATGCCTCTGGAAATCTCCCAGTTCCTGTGGGAACTTAAAGGTTCAGCTCATTGCTGACTCTTTTATGGAGTCAGACCCTAGAAAACTGAAAACTTTTTGCGCAAAGGCTCCTCATCTGCTGCGGGAGAGTGAATCATACCCATGAGAAATGTGAAGTAGAAGAAAGGACTCCAAATATTTAGTGACCACTGATTCTGTAAGAGCGTCATGCATGCTACCCTGAAAGCCTGTCCCAGAGGTGAATCAATGCCACTCTACCTTGCACCATTTCCTTACATTGCTGTTTGTCTGCTTTCCTGCGTGAGTCACTTGGGTTGTGATCCCTGGTTTACATGCTTCTAAAATCTTCTGCAATGTTGTTGTGACTGTTATGCAGTTGGTAGAAGGTTTGTGTGTTTATTGCATTAGGTTTACACAAAATAAAATATCTGTATTTTGGATAAATAAATTACTTAAATACTAGGGTGACTGGTCTAACGCAGTAGGGTTGTAGAAGGTGGTGGCACGGGGAAAGGCAGGTTGAACTCTGGCTTTGGCATGGTAGCTAGTCATTCATTAGTTTGTAATTGGGTTTTTTTCACTTCATTCTCTTAGTTTTCTACCTGTGAATGATAAAGAAAGAGACGACACTGTCATTGTACACATGAACTGATGTGGTTTTACTGCATTTGGCCACACACTTAAAAGAAATATGCCGGTACAGAGCAGCCACAGGTCTTATCTCTGCTGCCACTGCTTTCACAAAAGAATGATCTTTACATCAAGAGTTTTCCATCCTTGGCTTGATAACATTGCAGTCCTACTTTTTGCTGTTGGTCCGAATGCAGAGATTAAAAACACTCAGTTGATGCAAACGGTGGGTTGATACAACACACAGAATGGGGTGAAGATGTGCTTCACACAACAGAGAGCAGAATTGAAGGGGAAAATGTTGCCCGGAGGCAAGACGCCTCTTTAATCGGTTATGGCAAGGAAAATCAGATACCATATCTGCTTTTTTCCTGGAGTATATCAAGACTGATCATAACTAACATCTGTTCATGTTAAGCAAATACTTGTCATGATTTAAACTTCTGTTTGCATACAACTCTGAGTAGTGCATCTTAAAGTCATACATATTCATATAGAATGAAGAATGCATAATGTCTGCATAGAAAGATAAGCTGTATGACTATATATGAAGACAACAACTACAATTCTCACAGCACTGTCATTGGTTAATTTTAAAATATTCAAGCATTATTTAAAAAACAGTAAGCTGAACTTAAAACTACACTACGAAAAAAATGTATAACTGAACCAATGCTGACTTGTTTTCCTCAATATTATTAAATTTTTAAAGTTTCCCTTCTTTTTCTAACGCTTTTTGTTAATTAGTTGTTATTTTAACCTCCAGTAACATGATCAGACTTCTTCTGCCTCTGGGCAACTGCATTATGCTCTGATCTCGAGTTCTAAGGGAAATGTTCAATTTTATTTTTTTCCACAGTTGAATAAACAGTACCATGTATACTATCTCTTGTGTTAGAATAGTGTTGTCTTCACATAAGACTCAAATAATGGTATTAGTCATTCATTTCCTTGTACACATACACCCTATTGCGTGTTGACAGGTTTATAAGGATGCAGTGGCAGCCGTGGGTGCTGGGAAGCTCCTAGACGACAGCCTTTGAATCCTTGCAGTCCTGAGCAATGGTGCCTGAGTTAGTCTGTTTATTGTCTGCTTTCTCTCCCAGATGCTTGACTTGTCTGAAAGATTAATACATTAACAAGAGTGGTAAGGTCCAGGGTTGCACATTTTTAAGACATGTTTATTACCAGATGGCACGTGAGATTCAAAGGTCACTGTGGAAGGTAACATTTTGAAGTGAAACAACAATATTTATGTTCAAATACTACACTGATGAGATCATAGTGAAAAATGTTTCTGATTAAATTAGTTTATAAATACCACAATATATCTATTGAATATTCCAAATGCCACTTTTAGTCTTCTTTCTTTTATTCTGTTACTTCCTAATTCATTTAGTAACACAAGACTACCTTCTCACATAAACAGACCGGCAGCTGGAAAAAAACTCTCTGCTGGACAGACAATCCCACTTTCTTAAATAATTGAAAATCCAGTGTGAAATCTGGTTCTATTGTCTACTACTTAAAGCTAATATTTCATATAAGAGTTTTTTAAGACCTGAAAGAAATTTTAACTTTTAGATTCTCTAGGGTAAAATTCATCTTGCAGACATAAGGACTTATTGGCAGATAGCTATCCTTATGTACAGGCAGTATCATGTGCTACAGGACATTTGACAAAAATCATGTTATGCTACTTACACAGAAACCATACAATGAAAAGAAAATCCTTTTCACTTAGGATTTTCTTAGGAGGACTGACTTCTCATAGCTCATTAGTAAACATTATCAGTAATGCTAAACCTGAAATCTTGTTTATCCTCTCAAATTGTCAAAAACTGTATGTAAATTCCAGAGGAAATAGTTTTGCACAGGTTTAAAAGGGCAACTAAGCTCTTAATTAACATTTCTTATCTACCACACCACACAGGCATTAAAATGCAGAGGATTTAAATGTTACTTACTTTTCATGTGATCCATTTTCAACTTTCATAGCCCCTTCCACTGGATCCAGTCCTTGTTCTGAAAACTGTTTCAAGGCACTTAACGCTGCCTAAAGAAAAAATGCGTTGTCAAAAAACCCACTGACACAACTGACACCAAACAAAGGTGTGTATTTTGATATTGTAGCTTTAAATGATTTCTTATGTATTGAAGCCATTCAGGCTACAGAGCTAACAGAGTGGGTAGGTAACAGTTCCATGAAAAACAGCTCTGCTTGTGCATGGGATTGAGAATATCTTCTTCTTCCCTGGTATATGAGTGACTTCCATTTGTGCTGCATCACCTCCATGAAGAACATGATATGTTTTTAGGATTCTTGCCTCTCCGGCTTGTAAAATCTCTCCAGCTTCCCCACGTGCTTTCCTAGAGACCACACTTTCCGGAGCTCCTACAGACAACCTTGTCTTGCAGATGATTGTAGAAGGTGTGAGCAAGAGGAAGAGGGTCAGCAGGACACTACCCACACTCCAAGGCTGGATGTCGAACAACGAACAGACTAATGTCTTATACATTGGTAGTGACATGCTAAACACAGTGACCCAATATGAGATGATTATGAAGCATCAGCAATAGAAGAATGATCAATTTTCAGCTGATGCTTTTCTGCGCAATGCATTCTTTATTGACCAGCTTCTCTCTCATCTTCATGAGCCCTGCTTTAGGACTCAAAATTGTTCTTCTCTCCCCCCTAACTGCTTTGGTAAAAGGCAAATGATTTTTTGTAATTAATTTAGCAAAGGTTGATTATGAAACTCTCCGGCACCACATGGCTGACTTTGAAAACACACCGAGCACAACAAAAAAAATAGTTGAGGTCAGTTCTGTCTTGAAGGTGAAATGCAAAGCACAACTGAAAAACAGATTTTTCTCTTTTAATCATTCCCACCTAAGATGCATTCAGAACTAATCACAGGGGGAAAAACAAGCTAACTTTTCACAGACACTGTCAGCTAAGGCAACATCTCAAACACTGGAACTGACTGCAGGCCCTATGGCACTATTCTTCACAGTGAGGCAAAACCCACTGTTTGGAAAATGGGAAGTAGCTCTGTTCTTAATTGTTGGGACAGAAAGAATCCATGTCTCTATCTTCATTTCCCATTCCTCTCAGAGAGCAGGAACTCTGGAGCAGGAGCTGCCCTTGTAATGAAGTACTAGATTTGCTTTTGTACTAATTATTTACATGGATTCTCTCAACAGCTCCTTCCCTTGAAAGGTATGTTTATACAACTTAAAAATGATTAGACAATGTGTATTTTGGGGGGATGAATAACAGCACAAAAATTGCCAGCCTGCCCTAAAGTAAAGGACCACCTGCCCCAGATTTGTCTATGGTAATGACTAGCTGCTAAAGCTTCAGAAGGCTGTACAAGGTACACCCATAATGCATGAAGATGGACTCTTTCTAGTCTGTCGAGTTCTACGGTTTTTCCCTAGCTAAACATTTTATGAAGCATCTTGGTAAACCTCAGATTAACACTGTTAATTACACATCCACTCTACTTTTAGCATGTGTTCTGGGCTCCCTGTATCTGACAGCTAACTTGCTCTCTCCTTGCTCCTTCTTCCCATCCAGTTACATAATTTTCCCCTTTATCTTGAAATCTCTGCTGCCCACATCTTTCTTTTTATCTTTTTCCATGCTATAGCTAAGGGCTGAGCCTCAGCTTCATGTCAATAACAACTTCCACTACAGGATCTTTCACTTTTATCACCCACTGAGTTCCCCAGTGAATGAATTCTCCCTTTCCTCATTTCTTCTGGTTTTCTTGACATATTGACATATTCGCATTTTTTTATAACAGCTCTTTCTCTACCACCTCATTGTGTCCCTTGTAGTTCTAGAAGTGCATTCTCAACTCCTGTAAGCTCTAATCGCCGTCTGCCTTTCCATCCTCGATCTTGACTGCACAGCAAAATCACTGTTCAACCCAAATAATTTCTCCCAGTGGCAACAAGGGTTTTCATCTACTCGCCTCTCAACTTCTTTGTTTGTTCCAGTAGCTCGACACATTTCTTCATCCCAATTTCTCTCCTCTCCTCCTCTCCCTGGGTTCCTTTTCATCACAATGCAAGCACTACTCATCATGCAAGGAAGGGGAGTGATTTGAGCTCCTGTGCTTCTTTGCACAGGACTGCTTCTCTATTGCACTTTTGTTGGTCATGGGTTAGCAACCATGAGAACCAAACAATTGAACGGGTAGGGACCAGCACACAAGAATTTCCTGTCTTCTCATACCCATTCTTCCTGATGCACATTAGCAAAACAATCAGGATCTACTTTCTTCTTATATACGGTAATCAAAAAATCATTACCAGGTAGCACTGCAAGGAGAGAAGGAAGCTGAGACATCTGCTCCTCCTTACACAGTTTAACTGCTCCCTCATCTGTTTTTGAACCCACCTTGTTTTCTTTTGTATATCCATTCTTAGCCCCTGGGTCTGATATGTGAATTGTAAACTTGTCATGGAAGAACTATTTGTTCGGGTTTTTTGTTTATACAGTAGCTTGGACGAAAAGACCCTGATCGTAGCTGGTAAAAAGTAGAGCCAAGTAATGTTTCATTCAAGATTAGACCACAGGTTGATCATATGATACGCAGAACAGTCTGATCTTGATCAGTGGTCACTGAAACGCCCAAATCATCAAGAGATTAATTAGACCAACCCAAACTTCCTAATTCCTTTCTAGAATTGCTCTGAATATGAGTACATCTGTTACTTACAACTGTTTTACTCATAGAACTGGCTATTCCAAGGCATACCACATAAATTACAGAGCAGCTTTCAGGGTTGTTTTCCAGAAATACTGCTTTGGAACTTCCTGGAGGAGTATTAGCCACTATCTCAATAGAAAGAGATCATGAGGGCATCTCTTCTCTTCTAACAGCAAGCGAAGAAGTACTACAATATAAAATAATGAGGTCTTTGCCTGTAAGCATGGATCATTACTGTATGGGTGTCAAGGAAGTAAATATGGAACAATTAGAGGAAATGTATAAAATGAAGGTGTGATTCAAGGTGTTTAATGATAACCATGTTTAAAACCAACAGAACATCCAAATCCTAATGCTTGCAACATGGTGCATTCTCATTTCTCTATATCTCGCCCTTCTTCAAGCCATGCCCTTCCCAAACTGAAGTGTGATATAAAAGACAAGATCTCAGGTCTATTGTATTTCTGAAACCAAATATCAGAGGGAGAAAGCAGCAGGAAAGCAGTCCTGTGCCTGTATCCTTGATATTCCAAGTAGAGGTGTCGGGGTGTTTGCATGAGCACTGTTGAAAAGCCAGCCCTTTACAGTGTCCCTCATTGCTGGGCTTCTCACCTTTGCTGCTCTGGAAGCCGCCAATCTCTTCAAAAGCTCATGCTTCTCACTACCGAGTCCCCACTCCCCACATCCTCTGCCTTAGTCCCACGTCTTTCCCAAGCGACTCCAGTGCCCCTGGTCTTCTCCCTACTGTCCACACCAGTGCTCTGATTTCTTTTACAGCAGAGGTGATCACCTCTACTTCTTCACAAATATTCCCCTACCCAGGCCCCTGTTTTTTCATGCTGCTAAATGCTCTCCCACCCAAGACCCCCAGCTGCTCCCAGCTCCCAGAGTTAAATTTTCCTTCCCCAAGTCCTTCCAATGTCCTACACCTCACAGTCCCTCTTTTTCTTCCGGTTTCCTAATGTGTTCCAGGTTTATATGAGATCTGAGTTCTTTTTCATGGAACCATGTCTCTCTGTAAGATACCTGTGGGGGAAGCCTAAATACTTATATCCCTACTTTCACAACAACATTTGAATTTTGGGAAAATTTCTTTCCTTTTTAAAATGTCCATTCATGGGAATGTGACTGAAGGGCAGCAGATGAATGGCAGAGAGCCTTGCAGTGTCTTTAAAACTCCCCCTTTTCTTTCTTCCATGGCCTGCTTACATTTGGAAGGATCAGCAAAGCTGAGAGAAGCTGGTAAGTAAACAATACTTTGGACCTTAATAGATGTCCTTAATGTTTCTCCTCTCCCCGTCGTGACCCTAGACAGACATGAAGATGCTGGATTCAGGAAGGAAGCTGGTAGCTGAGAGGCTGTGACCTGAATAGTCAGTACAGTGACACAGAGCCCAAGTAAACTGCAATGAAGAAGACTTACAAGCAGACACCGGGCTAATTTAATCCATGATTCAATTCTATTAGTCCCAACAGATTTACGCCACTTGGCTTAAATATAACTTGTGAATGGCAGATAACTTAGGTTAAATGAAAAGGAAAGAAAAGAATGGAACATTTGACAGTGAATCTGGTGAACAATTTCCTCTTTTAAAGGCTCAACACTTCCTTCCATTGATATTTTTCTTACAATAGAGCATCTGCACAGATACAGAGAATTTTTTCTCTCCCCCAGAAGATTTTACAACTGTTTTGTGAGTGAAGCCCCATAGGTTACAGAACAGATGTCCTTACACATTTCTTGTATCACTTGTTTTCTGTGTAGCTACAACAGTGCCAAAAATACGATGCCAACAGGATGCACCGCACTGCTAGCTGTTTGTCTTGGCTACCATTTCCATTATTAGTTTACGTGTGTATCAGGATGGGGATGGATGTTTCCAGTCATTTTTTAGCTTTCCTCAAGTCAATTGGCAATTAGTAAATAGCATTGAAACTTGTGAATATTCTTCCTGTTTCTCTCTCTGGGGATTAAGCGTCTTATAATGACCATCTAGTAACATTAGATCATTCTTTCAGCAAGAACAGCAGACAAGCACTACACTAGCCCAAGTGCTTTTAAGACCACATCCTCATGATAAAATTTGCACATGTTTGTTTTAGCACAGTATGTGGTTTGTGTTTTTCCTCTTAAATCTATACTACGTTTCAGATTATTCCATCAAGCTGAAAATTGTAAAAGTTTGTTATTCTCTGTGGCCCTTACAGTTGACTTTACCAAGGAGGTCTGAGACAATCCTAATAAACACACTGCTTGATACTGGTAGTTTACTAGTGATACGTCTCTTAACATCACTTTTCTAAGTATATAAAAAAAAACATATTCAGCTTG